TGACTTAACAAAGACAGCCAATCATTGGATTTTCAAGACAACACACCCAGGAAGAATTACTAAATTTCTTTAGGTCTTCTCCTTCTCTGCCTCCTTATCGCCTCCCCATCCCCACCCCACCCCATTCTACTCCCGCCTTTACTTCTTCCTCCTTTCTGCTTTAGTGGTAACCAATTCTATCCCTAACATCTCTAAGCATCCACAAATAACATTGATTCAGGTTACTTGATGCTAATGTGTCTCCCCAAGTAATACTTTCCCAGACTGCACAGGTCAAAATTAAGCAATTTAGAGCCATCTGTGTTATGACACTGCATGTAAAAACTCACATATAGTTTGCTTCTCATTTAGATATTCAGATCATATTACATTTCCGTCTTTATAGAATCTTTTAAGGCAGGAGTCACCATACTATATTTTAAACATTGTGGAAATTGAGGCTGAGGAACCCCTTAATTGTTCAAGCTCTGTCTGATCCCCAAATCCTTTTTTTTCATTACATTACACTAATAGTTATATCATAATGATAAAATTAAGCTTTAGTTTCATCTGTTGTCATATAATGAAATACATAGCCTCAGTTTTCTCATCCCATCCATCTAAATTTTCAGATGAGTCGTAAGAATGATGACAATTCAAAGTTTGCTGAATTTTGGCCCCTGCTGCTCAGTCTATAGTGAACTACCTACCCTCCTGGTATTTTGAGACTCCCAAGGCACATTTGCAAAACTCTTTCTTTTCTCAGTAAAATAAAAAGCACCCTTGTAAATCCGCATCTACAGCCCACTGATTTCCCATGACTAGACATGTTTAAACCTCTGGTCATGATTAAAGTAAAATCTGCTCCAATGTGTTTGTACGGAGCTATAAATGTATCTACATATGTGCATATGATTTTTCACCTTTGAGTAACTATTTTTAATAACTTTATTAAAGTTATTAAAGAGGTCTGCATGCATGTTGCAAATCCTTTTTCTGTTAAATATACCTGTATTTAACAATTGCATGATGACTTCATTTAGCTGTGTAAGAAATTATTATGCTTATTTATATCATAGTCTAGACAAATAATCAATTCTATCTGAAAAAAATACAAATTTTAGCAATTTTCAATTATTTTCATCAATATACATTTACTTTCATATATTTGTTTTTGAAAATATTTCAGTGTTGATAATTGCTATAGCATAAATAAACATAGAAGATTCACATCCAGAATAATTTATGCCTTACAAAATACTTTAAAATAGTGTTATGGGCTCAATTGTGCCCCCTTTTCTCCGCTAATTCGTATATCAAAGTCTGAGTTTCTAGCACCTCAGAATGTGACCTTATTTAGAGATAGGGTCTTTGAAGAGATAAATAAATTAAAATGAGCCAATTAGGGTTGCCTTATAAAGAGAGGAAATTTGGACACAGCTACATACACAGAGGTAAGATGATAGGAAGACACAAAAAGATGGCTATCTACAACACAAGGAGTCAGGCCTGGAACAGATCCTTCCCTCACAGCCCTCAAAAGATCCCTACTGACATCTGACATCTTGATTTGGACTTGCAGCCCCCAGAACTGTGAGACTATAAATTTCTGTTAAGGCACCCAGTCTATGGTACTTTTTTTTTAAGTTTTTTTTTTTTTTAAAGTTTATTTACTTGAGAGAGAGAGAGAGAGAGAGAGACAGAGCATGAGCGAGGAAGAGGCAGAGAGAGAGAGAATCCCATGATGGAGCTCAAACTCATGAATTGTGAGATCATGACCTGAACTGAAATCAAGAGTCAGATACCTAACCAACTGAGTCACCCAGGTGCCCTTATGGTACTTTGTTATGGCAACCTTAGGAACTAACACTAGCATTCTGAAATAATTGCTTATATACATCTATGTAAATGGACTTTATTGACTTTGCTAGAATGCAGATTTTATTTTTGGTTTCATTATTATAATTGTAAAAAATATACAAGAATTCTATTATGGACTTATTTCTTCTACAAATAAATATATTTTCTTACACATATATTTTCTCTCTACCATATTCCTTTTAAATGAATTAATATTTTCAAATATCTTTTATTAGACATTTTGAGAATTTCTATAAAAACATCAGGTGAAAATAGTAAGATGAGGCAACTTTTACAAGTTTATTTTATATTATTCATAGGACATATTATTCATAGGTTATTATTTCTAGTATTTCCAATGATGTAAGTTCCATTTTTTAGTGGAGTAATTTTATACTTCAAAAGAAATCACATCTAATTTTCTATAGAACGAGTGGGAATTTATTTTTAAGAGACTGTTATGAAAGGTACTACATCAGTGAAAATTGCAGAATTGTTACCATTGCATTGATTAGTAATAGACTTGATTTTTCCAAAACATATTCTGTTGCCCATAGGTAATGCAGAATAGTTTCTATAAAAGGACTGAGGAGAAATTAAAACATACAATTTATCAGTAAAAAATAAAATAGCTTTGAATATGAATAGGAAATCATGGAGCTTATGAAAGCAATGGAAATGTCATAACTTCAGGGGGAGGTGACTAGAAATGGATGGATTTTTCAAGCCATACTATCTGCCTAAATTTACCCTCTAATGAATTGCAAGTTGCATCTCTGAAATTCGTATATTTAAGGCTTGATTGAATCCTCTGGCTGGTGTGTTTTCTAAATATGTGCATTAAAACTGAAACCATTTTCCTCACAGTCATGCTTGGAAATTTGGGGACTTGAGCATGGATATTTTGGGAATTTTTTTTTCTGGAAAAATAGCATAATTTAAAAATAAAAGAAAATATTACCTGAGTAACTACCTAAAGACCTTTGTTAATTAGTGGTGATTGCTCTCAAATTTTACCTCTTTGTTCTTTTTTGTTTGTTTGTTTTTCAAGTGTCTGTTTATATCATACCAAGGGATGACATTAAAAGCTTTGCGGAGTTTAGTAGAAGATGTATACTGTATTTCAAATGAAAGCAGTTTTGACAGCAGGGTGGCGCTTAAGTATTTCCCAAGCTGCAGGTCGACTCCTTCTGTTTAAGAGCTAATAATGTGATTAAACTAATTCTAATATTACAGTCTCAAAGACACTTATCAAATATCTCAAGAATTTAACGATAAATTGTATTTTCTTGGATTCTGTTTACTTGGTGAGTTTTCCAAGTTAGGAAGAAGAGGGACAATTTGATTGATCCCTTCCCACTAAGAATATAATGGGTCCTTAAAATTCAAGTGGGAACTAATTGTATATTTTCACTGTATTGTAGTATATGCTTGTCATATGTCTCTGATATCTCAAACTGAGTCCGATTTTGGAAATGAAAAGGTGTCTGGAACCCTCCTTTGGTAAACATTATGATTAAAATTGTGAAGGAGAGGGGTGCCTGGGTGGCTCAATCCATTGAGCATCTGACTTCAGCTCAGCTCTTGTTCTCACAGTCCATGAGTTCGAGCCCCATGTCAGGCTCTACCCCGACAGCTCAGAGCCTGGAGCCTGCTTCAGATTCTGTGTCTCCCTCTCTCTCTGCCCCTCCCCCATTCACCCTGTATCTTTCTCTCTCAAAAATAAAATAAAAACATAAAACATTTTTAAAAAATTAAAAAAATAAAATTGTGAAGGAGGATGAGAGTTGTATAGTCGGAGTAGTATAGATGGATGATTTAAATAATCATAATGCATTTATTTTAACTTTTTTGGGTTAATGAAAGGATGTGAATAAATCAAGTTGAAATAAAGAAATGAAGATGTAGCTTCCAAAACATTAAGAATCTTCACTTCTGTTAAAAATAAATTTTCAATTATAATATTTTTTAAGAAATAATATATACATGATTTGGTTTTATTCAAAATTTGCTTTTTACATTTTCTAAGTGTCTTGTGTGATGCAGATAGATGGCAAATACAGTAGAACAGTATTTAACATAGCTGATTATGACATAGTTTTGACTTTCCTCATACAAATAATGTCCTTAAGCAGAATCAGCACAGTATAAAAGGTCATAAAAGTGCATAGTAGTCTATTTCTATTCTGCTTTGGAGAAGTTTTAATGCTTTTCCCTTCACCTACCTGACCTTCAATTTCATCAATATGAAAGAGCTATTGTCAAGATGACATGTTGGAAATTTGTAACATTTAGCTCCGAGGCTGCCATTAGTAAGGAAATAATAAATAAAGCAATTCGCTATAATTCAACAAATATTTATGCATTTGGAAATTGAACGCTAAAATTAATCTTGATAAATGTCAATCACTGTGGAGATCATTCTAAAACAACAAGTTCATAATTATCACCGCAGGGGTCTTATGCATGCAGAGGATGTTAAAGCAAGTCAGGGTGCACCTGCTGCTCAATCCATTGAATTCACTTTTAATCAAATAGTGTGGTCTGAGACCCTCTCTTGGCCTTTGGTACCCATAAAATAATTACATAATAAAAATGGAATGAAATAAACAAAATAAAAATATATTATAAAAATGGGAAAACATATACTAAAAAATGAATAAAAAAGAAAAACGTCCCCCAAACAGATGCTTGCATCACCTGCCTGTGCTCCATTCTTTTAACAAGCCACATTCATCACCCAAATTAGAGTAGCTACTTTCATCTCCATTTCCATTCAATTTAATCCTTGCTAGTGTGAACTTGCCAATGATGGCTATGTACAGATAGTGGTTTCAGGGAACACTGATTACCAGAGACCAAATCTAGACCACAAAGCCTGTTTGTAAAGGCAAGTGAAGAGCAGGAAAATGGAAATTACTTTCAGATATTACTAATCTGCACCAGATTTGGGTTGGGGGCCCAACAATAAAAGGTTCTGTGTCTTATTTACCCGTCACTTGAGTCACTTGTTCCCCTTGTGCTTTAATTATCTTTTGTTATTTCTTTTAAGTTTTGTTATTTTAAAGAGTGCTTTTGGAATGTTTTCACTTAAGTATAGGAAATGATGATTTTCGTTCACACTTTTAACTTTTTTTTGTTGTTGTTCTTTTTCTCCCTAGGGATGCAGATCTGTTCCTGTTAGACACAAGAAAGACCCAAGCTTTAGATGTGGGTTGGCTTGTCTTTGATATCACTGTGACCAGCAATCATTGGGTAATTAATCCACAGAATAATTTGGGTTTACAGCTCTGTGCAGAAACAGGAGATGGTAAGCAATGAATTTCAATATTTTTCATGGGGCTAGTTCTGACACACCGAGAGTTACAACTTTGTACACAATTTAACCAAGATATGTTTTATACCTACGTTGTGCAAGGTAGCACCCGCCATAGGATAGTGCAATACATCAATTGGTTAATTGATTTATAAACATATTTACTCAACACACATTTATTTTCAGCCTCTGTGGTGGGGATAAGGGGTAAAGAAGAATTATGTAGTGGTCCTGGCTCTGAAAGAGTTTTTAATCTAATCTTGAAGAACTGTATGCAAACAAATAGCACTACCATAACAACACCAAAAGAAAGCTATATACAAAATGCTATGGATCTATGTCTTGATTATGATGGTAGTTATACACCTATATAGTTTATAAGAATTTATAGAACTGTACATTGAAATGAACACTACTGTATGTAAAAAATATCTCAAAACTTGACTAAAAATAACAAAGACATACACATATACATAATAGTGCTAGGGAAACAGGCAAAGGAGCTACCAATAATACAGGGGAGAAAAGAGGCACGAAATACTGCAGAAAATAACATCGTTTGGTTTTAACATATTCCAATATTTGGTCAAAGACAACACCTCCAGGGTCATCTGTTGAGTTGGGGGTGGGAGGGGATCGGTAGGAAAGGTTTATTTTGAAGAAGCTCCAGAAGTTTTTTTATGCTCACCAGTACTCATTGACCAACTGTATGGCATGCGCTTGGCTAGATGCTAGACGTAAAATGGTATATTTAGAAATATACCAAGTGGGCTACATTGTGCCTCACACCCTGTGAATGTTAGGGCCAGGCCCAGGGAGGGTAATTTATAAAATGATGATTAATTAGAGGGTGCACCTTATTTAAGTTTTACTCTTTTAGTTTTCTGCAGGATCAGTCAGTAGACACATTCACCCTAGAGGCTGCCCTACTTATTCCTCTTTGCTGTATTACAGTACAGCCTTGCTCAAAACATACAGTTATAAGTAAAAGTTGGGTCTGATTTGGGTCTCTTTTAAAGGGGTTCATCGCTATAAGCATTAGGACTTCACAGTGACATTGTGTTACCTATATAACCAGATTCATAGCTGAAGAATACTATAACCAATGCTGGTTCCCCAAGGATTGTATATATGAAATGAGACTGACAGATACAAACCAAATATATTACCAAGTTCATCCTCAGATCTTGATCTGGTAATAGAGTTATTGAAGTTCTTAGTGTTATTGAAGTGTTTCAGGCATTTTCCCACCAAATCTAGGCTTTTCATAGATTTTAATGGCAGCACTGAATGAAAATTTTTTAAACAATTCAAATATTTTGCAGTATAGGTTATTTTTCAATTATGGCTTTGCGATTAGCATTGAGGATTTGCAGAGTTCAAGCATTATGAATGTAGACTGAGAAAGTATGCATTTAAATAATCTTCCAAGAATTCTTACACTGTCAAACTACTGTACATTTATGGTCAGAAATGTGACTGGGAAATCAGCACTGTGGGGGTGAGCAGTCATTTCTTCCCTGGTATGTGGCCCAAACAAGAAAAATTAAATTAGTGGTATGTGCTTCTCCTAGTCTTCTCCTCAGGGAGATGCTTGAAATGTCTAACTAAATAATTCAAGAGATCTATGAAATATGATCAGCCTCTTTCTTTTTCATTCCCTACCCATTTGCACCCCACTTGAAAATTCTGAAATTTCTCTCTTTTTTTTCACTCTTTCTTCTGTATTGGATCTCTCTGCTTTACTATCTATGTAATTTGGCTTCTGTCTTGCTTTCAACTTACGTTTTTCTCGCCAAGAACTACTTTATATTTTGTAGTTTCCTCCCACTCCTTGATTTATTTCTCCTATATGTTAGGGTAATTTTACTTTAAATTTATGTTGTATTATTTAATAATATGGGAAGATTGTTTTGAGCCTAAAATAAATTAATATTTCATTTTTTTCAAAGGTTTCCAAGTCCGTTATTTAAGACTTAGGTTATATACAGCCTTCGTTGCTTTTCTTTATCTCTGTAATACTGTCCAATATTAAAATATGAAAATGGTTAAATATGCTAGGCAAACTGGCTTTGTGCCTTTAAGCAATACTTAAAACAGATTTTAACCAGAGCTAGAGCATATTTGGCCTTCAGAAAGCAAATGGCCCTCCTGGTCCCTTAGTTTTATTAACTGTGACCTTATGGAGAATATACTTGTGACATTTCTCTATAACTATGAATAACCAGATGCTTCAGCTTATTATTGCTTCATTCATTACTACTGCTGATGTGCTCAATGTGATACTGTGATATTGCTTCAAACAGAGCAAACCATTTTTAATTTACAGTAATGGGTTCTGAAAACATTTACTTCTCAGCAAAAGTAATTGGCAGTCATGATTGGATGATACTCAGATGATTTCAAATGATTTGTTGATTACCCACTTATTCATTTGTTTGGCATAAACTTATTGAGTATCTATACATGAAAGACAATATGTTCAAGGGCAATATAATCTGGAAGACAGATATATGTAGCTAATTTTAGAAAGGATAAAGCATTCTAAATGCTAAAAATAGTAGCACAATCAAGACACTACAGGAAAATGGAAGAGAGAGAGTTAACTCCAAACAAGTCAGAGCCAGAAGGACAGTGGTTCAGGTGACTTTTAAGCCAGGTCAGTTCAATAAGATTTCAAGAAATGGAGATGAGAAGAGAGGGAACTGTGGGCGTATATGGCGTGGTGGAAGGGAGAATTCATTCCTAGATGAGGAAACAAGGTGAGTAAATGAATAGAATGGCAAATTGCATGGTATAGTCTGGAAAAAGTCAATAGCTCAGAGTTGGCCAGAACAACAATCATGTATGAAATATGACTGCAAATGCTATTAGGAAAGTGATTTGGAGACAAATCATGGAAGGAAAATGAAATCTCACTTATGTATAGTATATTCTTGTTGCTTGATCACACGTCATAAAAGAACCAGACTTGCTGCTTTAGTCAATCACAGCAACACCATCGTATGAATGTTGGTTTCATGAGGTCATAGGATGTATATTTCACCTTCACAGTTGTACCCTCTGTGCTTGGTACAATGAGGCTTGTGGGTAGGTATTAAAAATGTGTCTTGAATGATCACTGAATGAGTTTGTGATTTAAAAGACTTTTATACACCATCTGCCACTGAACATGTCACTCTTAAGAAGACATTCCAAACTATAACTTTTGGGTGATTATTAACCAAGTCAGTCTGGTGTAACACAGGAGCAGAGTTTTGTACCCAACTCACAGTATAGTAGTTAAAGCAGTTTCAGTCATAAAGTGAGGAGAAAACCAGTGATGTATATTATTAAATTTTGATTATCTTTCTCCTGCAAAAAGAGAAAAAAAGGTAAAGAGGCCCAAATATATTTTGGAAGTCAAAAGACTGCTGAAATCAAAACTAGCATTATGATTCCTCAGAGGAACTGTGAAAAATATGTCAGTTTATGAAATATTCTTTTTAGAAATTTGACAAATGAACTGCCATCGATTTGGCAGGAAACTTTAAGAATATTCCATTTTTTTTCATACAGAATAATTCCCTGAACTCCACACATTTGTTTCATCAAAATTAAGCAAACATATGAGCAGGCAAACAAAAAAGAAACACTGCTGCTTCTTAATGGTCTAATCTAGAGATTCCAGACATGGATCCACTTGTGTAAAATCACTTTCAAAGTTCTCAAGCATTCTCTCATGGTGGTTAATAGATTTCTGTGATAAGATAGTCTCTCTTTATTAACAGCAAATGAGTAGGCTTAGGTCTGTCTTATAATTTATTGTAAGATTTTTAGCTCACCAAGTTATAAAAACACATTAATCATCTGAATTATTAGGTCTTTATTAAAATTGTTAATAAACCTATGGTACCATTATTCTTTACACATATATACATACAGGGCTTATTACACAGATAGCAATTTAACTGAGCTTTAAATACTAAGTGTTTCCCCCCAAACACTACAATTTCCCACTGTTTGATGCTTTATATAGTTTAAACCTTCCAAGTACATTAATCCTTTTTTCAAACTTGGGTTTATAGAGATGGAAAAACAAAGAGAGTATTTTTGGGTTCATTAGAATGTCTTTAAAAAATCCTATGTTTTCAGACATTTTAGGTTTGGCAATACTCAGAATGAATTTTGCCAATGACTTTTTTTTCTTTCTATTCAAACCCACTTATACGTCAAAGAAAATTCAATCCGTATGTTTCTGATTCATTTGTATTCAAGTCATCAAAATGTTGTTTTGTCAGAGTACTGTTTAATGTCCCAGAAACATTATAAAGTTCTTTTTTTAATAAGACTCTAATATCCATTTTTCTTCAAATGAAGTTGTGGCATAATTTCCAAGCATATCAAGGTAAAAATTCAGATTTAAAGACAGATTTCAACGTTTCACTGAATTTTGTAGCCAATTCAAGAAAACAAACTTCAGAGGTATTAACTATGAAATAAAATTCCATTATGATTGATGCTTAAATATAAGATAGAGAAACATAGTTATTACTACAGATAACATACAATTTAAAGTTTGTATACTTATTTTTTTCATACTTAATTGACATAAGAAGGATAAAGAAATAGAATAAATAACTCCATTCTAGAAATATAAATTCTAAGAAGAAATTATTAGGAAAACTAGATTCATATCTTAGCTCTGTTTGGGGCACCTGGGTGGCTCAGTCGGTTAAGCGTCCGACTTCAGCTCCGGTCATGATCTCATGATTCGTGGGTTTGAGCCCTGTGTCAGTCTCTGTGCTGACAGCTCAGAGCCTGGAGTCTGCTTTAGATTCTGTGTCTCCCTCTCTCTCTGCCCCTCCCCTGCTTACACTATCTCCCTCTCTCTCTCACTCCCTCACTCTCTCTCTCTCAGAAATAAACATAAAAAATTTTTTAAATCTTGGCTCTGACAAAGTAGTTCATGTTTTAGTCATAGCATTAATAGAATGAGTATTAGTGCTAATTAC